GGGAGATAAGGGGAGTGACATAAAAAGTAAAAGACAAAGAAGGTGAGAGAGTGAGGAAAGGTTAGAGAGGAGAGAGAATGAGATATAAGGGGGAGAGGGAAAAAGTAGAAGGGAGAGAAGGTGAGAGAGGGAGACAAGGAAAGAGAAAGGGATAGAATGATATAAGAAAGGGCAATAGAGGGAGGGAGAGAGAGAGGGAGAGAGCGAGAAAGAAAGAGAGGGAGAGAGGGAGAGGGAGAGAGAGATAGAGTAGGAGACGGAGGGAGGGTGAGAGAGGGAGAGAGAAAAAAGAGTTGAGGGGAGAGGGAGAGAAAGAGAGGGAGAGAGGGCGGGAAATAAGGGGAGAAAGGGAAAAAGTAGAAGGGAGAGAAGGTGTGTGAGAGAGGAAGGGTGAGAGACGAGAGAGGGCGGGAGATAAGGGGAGAGAGGGAAAAACTAGAAGGGAGAGATAGAGTGAGGGAGACAAGGAGAGAGGGAGAGGGAGAGAAGAGACAGTCAAATAGAGAGGGAGATAGATCGGAGTGGGGGGATAGAGAGAGGTGGGGAGAGGGAGGGAGGGAGAGAATGAGAGATAAAGAGAGGAAGAGAGAGCAAGTGAGAGTGAGAGAGAGAGGGAGAGTTTGAGAGATGAAGAGATGGAAAAGGAGAGAACAAGTGAGAGGGAAAGGGAGAGAGGGGGAGAAAAAGAGGGGAGAGGGAAAAGGAATGATAGCGAGGGAAGAACGTGGGAGGAGAGAGAAAGAGAGAGGGAAGGACAGAGAGATAGAGATAGAGGGAAAAATAGGGAGAGAGAAAAAGAGAGACAAAGAAGGATGGGGAGAGAGAGAGGGATTGAGAGAAAGAAGGAGGGAGAGGGAGAGAGAGAGTTAGAGAGAAAGAATAAGGAAGGAGGAGAGAGAAAGATAAAGAGGGTCTTAGGGATCGAAATAGGGAGGGAGAGAAAGAGGGAGAGAGTGATGTATAGAGAGGAGGAAAGAGAGAGAGGGGAGAAGGAGAGAGGTAGAGGGAGTGAGAATAAGGGAGAATGGGAGTGAGAGAGAGGGAAAGGGGAGGTGAGAGAGACAGGTGGAAGGGGTGAGAGAGTGGGAGGGGGAAGAGAGAGATAGGGAAAGGTAGAGGGGAAGAGAGAGATAGGGAAAGGTAGAGGGGAAAGAGAGAAGGAAAGATGGAGAGTGAGAGTGAGAGGAAGGAGGGAAAGAGCGAGAGAGGGATAGAACGATAAGAAGAAAGGGAATAGAGGGGGAGGGAGAGGTAGAAAGGGAGAGAGAGGAAAGGAGAGAGAGTGAGAGAGGGATAGAGATAGAGATGGATGAGGAGATAGAGGGAGGGTGAGAGGGGGTAGAGAGGAAGAGGGAGTTGAGGGTAGAGGGAAAGAGAGGGAGAGAGAGAGGGAGATAAGGGGAGAGACAAAAAAGTAGAAGGCAAAGAAGTGAGAGAGGGAGAAAGGGTGAGAGAGGAGAGAGGGTAAGAGATTAGGGGGGAGAGGGAAAAAGTAGAAGGGAGAGAAGGTGAGAGAGGGAGGGAGGGAAAGAGTGAGAGAGGGAGACAAGGAGAGAGAGAGGGATAGAATGGTAAGAAGAAAAAGAGAGAGAGAGGGAGAGAAGGAGAGAGGTAGAAGGGAGTGAGAATGAGGGAGAATGGGAGTGAGAGAGAGGGAAAGGGGAGTGTAAGAGAGAGAGTGGAAGGGGTGAGAGAGTGGGGGAAGAGAGAGAGGGAAAGGTAAAGGGAGAGAGACAAGGAATGATGGAGACTGTGAGTAAGAGGGAGGGATGGAAAGAGTGACAAAAGGAGACAAGGAGAGAGAGAGAAGGATAGAACGATAAGAAAAAAGGAGAGATGGGGGAGGGAGAGAGAGTTAGAGAGGAAAAGAGAGAGAGTGAGAGAAGGAGAAAGATAGAGATGGATTAAGAGATTGATGGAGGGTGAGAAGGGGGAGAGAGAAAAATGGAGTTGAGGAGAGAGGGAGAGAAAAAGAGGTTGAGAGGAGGGGAGACGAGAGAAAGGGAGTTGAGGAGAGAGGGAGAGAAAGAGAGAGAGAGGGAGAGAGGGCGGGAGATAAGGGGAGAGACAGAAAAGTAGAAGACAAAGAAGGTAAGAGAGTGAGGAAATGTTAGAGAGGAGAGAGAATGAGAGATATGGGGGAGAGGGAAAAGTAGAAAGGAAAAAGGTGAGAGAGAGGGTAGAACCATAGAAGAAAGGGAGAGAGAGAGTGAGGGAGACAGAGAGCAAGAGAGAGAGGAAAGGAGAGAGAGTGAGAGAGGGAGAGAGATAGAGATAGATTAGGAGATAGAGGGAGGGTGAGAGAGGAGAGAGAGAAAAAAGAGTTGAGGAGAGAGGGAGAGAAAGAGAGGGAGAGAGGGTGGCGGATAACGAGGGAGAGGGAAAAGTAGAAAGGAAAAAAGGTGAGAGAGGGAGACAAGGAGAGAGAGGGTAGAACGATAGAAGAAAGGGAGAGAGAGAGGGAGGGAGAGAGAAAGCGAGAGAGAGAGGAAAGGAGAGAGAGTGAGAGAGGGAGAGAGAGGAGAGAGAGAAAAAAGAGTTGAGGGGAGAGGGAGAGAAAGAGAGGGAGACAGGGAAAAGTAGAAGGGAGAAGAGATGAGAGAGGGACGAAGGGTGAGGGAGGAGAGAGGGTGATAGATAAGTGGGGAGAGGGAAAAGATAGATGAGAGAGAAGGTGAGAGATAGAGGGAAGGAGAGATAGAGTGAGGGAAAGAAAGAGAAAGGGAGAGGAGAGAAGGGAAAGAGAAATAGAGAGGGAGATAAATGGGAGTGGGGGAGAGAGAGGTGGGAAGAGGGAGAGAGGGAAAGAATGAGAGATAAAGAGAGCAAGTGAGAGTGAGAGAGAGAGGGAGATATTGAGAGATAGAGAGATAGAGAAGGAGAGAACTAGTGAGATGGAAAGGGAGAGAGGGAAGAAAAAGAGGGGAGAGGGAAAGGGAACGATAGCGAGGGAAGAGCGAGGGAGGAGAGAGAAAAAGAAAGGGAGAGAGATAGAGAGAGGGAAGGAAAGAGAGATAGATATAGAGGGGAAGGAAGGAGAGAGGAAGAGAGAGAGAGAGAATTGTGAGAAAGAGGGAGGGAGAGAGAAAGTGAGAGAGAGATAGAGAAGGAAGGATAGAGAGATAGAGATGGAGGGAAAAGCAAGCATAGAGGAAAGAGAGAGAGAGGGATGGGGAAGAGAGAGGGATTGAGAGAAAGAGGGGGAGAGAGAGAGAGTTAGAGACGAATGAGGAAGGAGGAGAGAGAAAGATAAAGAGGGGCTTAGGGATTGAAAGAGGGAGGGAGATAAAGGGGGAGAGAGTGATTTATAGAGAGAGGGAAGAGAGAGAGGGAGAGAAGGATAGAGGTAGAGGGAGTGAGAATAAGGGAGAGTAGGAGTGAGAGAGAGGGAAAGGAGGAGTGTGAGAGAGATAGTGGAAGGGGTGAGAGAGTGGGAGGAGGAAGACGAGAGATAGGGAAAGGTAGAGGGGAGAGAGAGTGGGAGGGGGAAGACGAGAGATAGGGAAAGGTAGAGGGAGAGAGAGAAGGAAAGATGGAGAGTTGGAGTGAGTGTGAGAGGGAGGGAGGGAAAGAGTGAGAGAGGGATAAAATGATAATAAGAAAGGGAGAAAGAGGGGAGGGAGAGATAGAAAGGGAGAGAGAGTTAGAGAGGGGGAGAGAGGAAAAAGAGTTGAGGGTAGAGGGAGAGAAGGGGAGAGAGAGAGGGAGAGAGAGTCGGAGATAAAGGGAAAGATGAAAAAAGTAGAAGGCAAAGAATGTGAGATAGGGAGGAACGGTGAGAGAGGAGAGAGGGCGGGAGATTAGAGGGGAGAGGGAAAAAGTAAAAGCGAGAGAAGGGGAGAGAGGGAGGGAGGGAAAGAGTAAGAGAGGGAGACAAGGAGAGAGGGAGGGAGGGAAAGAGTAAGAGAGGGAGACAAGGAGAGAGAGAGGGATAGAATGGTAAGAAGAAAAGAGAGAGGGAGGGAGGTAGAGTGGAGTGAGAATGAGGGAGAATAGGAGTGAGAGAGAGGGAAAAGAGGAGTGTGAGAGAGATAGTGGAAGGGGTGAGAGAGTGGGAGGGGAAGACAGAGATAGGGAAAGGTAGAGGGAGAGAGAGAAGGAAAGATGGAGAGTGAGAGTGAGAGGGATGGGGGAAAGAGTGAGAGAGGGATAAAATGATAAGAAGAAAGAGAGAAAGGGAGAAAGAGGAAAGGAGAGAGAGTTAGAGAGGGATAGAGATAGAGATGGATTAAGAGACGAGAGGGAGGGTGAGAGGGCGGAGAGAGTAAAAGAGAGTTGAGGGCGAGAAGGAGAGAAAGGGAGAGAGAGAGGGAGAGAGGGCTGGAGATAAGGGGAAAGACAAAAAAAGTAGAAGGCAAAGAATGTGAGATAGGGAGGAAGGGTGAGAGAGGAGAGAGGGCGGGAGATTAGAGGGGAGAGGGAAAAAGTAAAAGGGAGAGAAGAGGAGAGAGGGAGGGAGGGAGAGAGTGAGAGAGGGAGACAAGGAGAGAGAGAGGGATAGAATGGTAAGAAAAAAGGGACGGAGGGAGGGAAGGGGAGAGAGAGACGAGAGAGAGGAAAGGGAGAGAGGGAGAGAGATAGAGATGGATTAGGAGATAGATGGAGGGTGAGAGAAGGGAAAGTGTAAAAAGGAGTTGAGGGAGAGAGTGAGAGAGGGAGAGAGAGAGAGGGAGAGAGGGCGGGAGATAAAGGGAGAGATGAAAAAAGTAAAAGACAAAGAAGGTGAGAGAGGGAGGAAGGGTGAGAGAGGAGAGAGGTCGGGAGATAAGGTGGGAGAGAAGGTGAGAGAGGAAGGAGAGAAGGTGTGAGATGGAGGGAGCGAAAGAGTTAGAGAGGGAGAGAGAGAGCAAAAGAGAGAGAGTGAGATAGGGATAGAGATAGAGATGGATTAGGAGATAGAGGGAGGGTGAGAGAGGGGAGAGATAAAAAGGGAGTTGAGGAGAGAGGGAGAGAGGGAGGGAGAGAGAGAGAGGGACAGAAGGTGGGAGATAAGGGGAGAGATGAAAAAAGTAGATGACAAAGAATTTGAGAGAGGGAGGAAGGGTGAGAGACAAGAGAGGGTGAGAGGTAAGGGAGGAGAGGGAAAAGTAGAAGGGAGAGAAGGTGCGAGAGGGAGGGAGCGAAAGAGTGAGAGAGGGATAGAATGGTAAGAAGAAAGGAGAGAGAGAGGGGCGAGAGAGGTAGAGAGAGGGAATGAGGAAAAAGGAGAGAGAAAGATGAAGGGGGTTTAGGGATCGAAAGAGGGAGATAGAGAAAGGGGGAGAGGGTGATGTATGGAGAGGGGGAAGGAGAGAGAGGAAGAGAAGGAGAGAGGTAGAGGGAGTGAGAATGAGGGAGAATGGGAGTGAGAGAGAGGGAAAGGGGCGAGTGTGATAGAGAGAGTGGAAAGGTTGAGAGAGTGGGAGGGGGAAGAGAAAGAGAGAGGGAAAGGTAGAGGGGGAGAGAGAAGGAAAGATAGAGAGTGAGAGGGAGGGGAGGGAGGGAAAGAGTGAGAGAGGGAGATAAGGAGAGGAGAGGGATAGAATGATAAAAAGAAAGGAAAGGAGAGAGAGTGAGAGACTGAGAGAGATAGAGATGGATTAGGAGATAGAAGAAGGGTAAGAGGGGGAGAGAAAAAAGGAGTTAAGGCCGGAGGGAGAGAGAAAAGAGGAGTTGAGGCCGGAGGGAGAGAGGGAGAAAGGGGAGAGAGAGAGAGAGAGGGTGGGAGATAAGGGGAGAGATGGAAAAAGTAGAATAGAGAGAAGGTGAGAGAGGGAGGAAGGGTGAGAAAGAAGAGAGGGCGGGAGATAAGGGTGGAAAGGGAAAAAGTAGAAGGGAAAGAAGGTGAGAGAGGGATGGACGGTAAGAGAGGAAGAGGAAGAGAGGGAAATGGAGTGATGGGGATAGAGTGGGGAAGAGAGAGAGCATGTGAGAAAAATTGTTAAAGAGAGGGTAAAAGAAAGGTAGAGAGAGGGAGAAAGAAATATGGGGAGAGAGAAAGACAAGCAGAGAGATGGAAAGAGAAAAGAGTAGAAGAGGGAGAGAGAAAGAGAGGGAGGGAGGGAGAGAAAGGTAAAAGAGAAAGAGATAGAGGGAGAGGGAGAGAGTGAGTGTGAGAGGGAGAGAGAGAAAAGGAGAGTGGGAGAGAGAGATAGAGGGAAAGAGAAGCAATGGATAGAGTAAAGGAAATAAAGGGAGGAGAGAGAGTATGGGAAAGAGATAGTATGGGAGAGGGAGAGAGAGGGAGAGAGAGTGGGAGAGAGGGAGAGGGACAAAGCTAGAGGGTCGGAGAGGGAGGGAGAGATAGAGTGATAGAGGGAAGGAAAGAGGGAGAGGGAGAGAAGGGAGAGGGAAATAGAGAGGGAGATAGATGAGAATGAGGGGATAGAGAGAGGTGGGGAGAGGGAGAGAGGGAGAGAATGAGTGATAGAAAGAGAGAGTGAGAGCAAGTGAAATTGAGAGAGAGCGATTGAGAGAGGAGAGATGGAGAAGGAGAGAATCGAGAGAGGGGAAAGGGAGTGAGGGGAAGAAAAAGAGAGAGAGAGAAAAGGAACGATAGTGAGGGTAGATTGAGGGAGGAGAGAGCAAGGGAGAAAGAGAAAGTGAGAGAGAGATAGAGAGGGAAGGAGAGAGAGATAGAGATGGAAGAAAAAGGAGGGAGAGAGGAAGAGAGAGAAAGGGATGGGGAGAGAGAGGGATTGAGAGAAAGAGGGAGGGAGGGAAGGGAGAGAGAGGGAGAGAGAGTTAGAGAGAGGGAATAAGTAGGGGTGATAATTCGGTTAAACGATTCGATTTTGTACGATTTGATTTGGTTTTTGATTAACCGAATTGAGAAAAAAACCAAAACCAAACCAAAATAAATTCGATAACTTCGGTTTTTAACCGAATTATTTCGATTCGATTTCGAAATATTTTGGTTTTAATCGAAATATTTTATTGTAAAAAAATCATTTCTTTTATAATTCTTTTTTTGCTTACTAGCAGTGCTACTACTATCTATTGCTACTCATGTTTTCGGTTTTAACCAAAACACCATGTTATCTTATTATCATCATCCTTATTGTTATATCATTTTGGATTTACATGCTTCCTTGCCTAACCACACTCCACTTAAAACAAAATATATCTTTCACTCTAACACACGAACAAAGACAAAAAGATATATGAGAAAAAATAAAAAAATACACACCACATATTTAGTCGATAATTATTTATTACCATTAGTCTAATTAAAGTCCAAACTAAGAAAATCAATCACTTATACAAACTAAGAATTTAGTTTAGTAATATAGTTAGACCATGCATATAGCTTTAATCCTATATAAGTAGCAAAGAAACAAGAGAAAATTTAAAAAGAAGAATCTGCTAACTAACTTTTGATGAATGGTCTAGCTACTAATTGCAAGAGTGGAAGAGCTGAAACCCAACAAAGGAAATAGCTCCATTTTGGCATAAGATGCTACAATTTGGATTTCCATGTAGTAGAGAAGACATCCTTGCACTCATCCTTTAAGTCAAGCACAATAAAACTTTAGCAAACTTAGTGTGAATCAAAATCAACATGTTCCATAAAAAGATCTAAAAACAACATTAGCACATTTGATTAGCTTATATATTGTATCACTGGAATATATTGTATCACCCTTAGGCACAAGGGGAAAGTAGTGGTGATGGGTAGGTTTGGAACTCACGACATTTCTAAATGCATTGATCACACGAGGGTCAATTTTGTACCAACTATGCCACCAATTAGGCAATTATTTGGACCTTGGTAAAAAACCCAATAGTGGAGGAATTTGATCTCGAGCAACCTCAAACTCAAGGCCACTATGATCTGCAATGCTCCACTTGCCCCGTAGGCTGCTCATAGCCATTGAAAACAAGTTCCCCGGCGTCCAAGTTCAAGAGGTGAGTATAATTTTACTAGATTGTTGTGAATTAGACATAATTGTTGAATGGTTTATTTCCAATAAATGCTCTACTTGTGATGCATAGAAATTATCTAATCAAATATTTTTTTCAAATATATATATATATCATGCTCTAATGTGATACTTAACTTGTTTTTATCAAGCATATGGACTGATAGAGCACAATCGCATCACATTAACTCATAGGGATCCTAGTAAAGACCATGGCACCGCAAAGAAAAATTCGGTAGGATTCCTCCTTCCCAATTTGCAAATCAAGTTTATTGATCTTGAAACTGGTCGATCTCTCCCTAGGAACACCCCTAGGTGAAATTTGTGTAAGAATTCAATGTGCTATGCAAGGTACAAAGATGCTAGTTATTTATCGAAAACTAATTAGAAATTAGGGCTAAGAAGTCACATATACTTTTACCACTTTGTTTCTTGCTTTTACTAATTAGTAATCAAGAAAGGTCTTTTCTAATTGGTTTTATCTCTCATCTTAGTGTGAATCAAAATCGATATGTTGCATAAAAGAAGCAAAAATAGAAGAGAGAAAGGAAGGATAGAGAAATATGTTAGTGTATGTACCTGGATAAGCGAGTGGGTGGTCGGCAATGGAAGAAGTGGTCATTCGTTAGCGGGTAGACCTTCGGATGAAGGAAATATGTATGTAGTTGGTGCCATAAGAAAAATATTAGAAGGAGAAATGGAGAACTGATGAAGAAGGGAATGAGAAATAGAAAGAATGAAGGAGAACTAGAGATCGGAGACTAGAGAAGAATGGAATGAAGCGAGGAAGAGGTTAGGGAAGGGTAGAAGACGGAAGAACTACAAAGACTAATCGTGTGTTTTAGTTCAACGAGATTGAAGAAGTTAGGGATTTAGAAATTAGGATTTTTTAATGTTTATTTTGGTTTTTGATTGAAATCGAAATTTTTTTCAAAAAGCTGAACCGAATCAAAATAATTTTGATTTTTTAGTTTGGTTTTAAATTTTATAATTTTACATTTAAAACCAAACCAAATTTCATAATTCGATTCAATTTTATTTGGTTTTTGGTTAATCGAACCATTTGCTCACACCTAGGAATAAGAAAGGAGGAGAGAGAAAGATGAAGAAGGGTTTAGGGATCGGAAGAGGGAGAGAGAGAAAGGGGGAGAGAGTGATGTATGGGGAGGGGAAGGATAGAGAAGGAGAGAGAGAAGGAGAGAGGTAGAGGGGAGTGAGAATAAGGGAGAATGGGAGTGAGAGAGAGGGAAAGAGGGAGTGTGAGAGAGAGAGTGGAAGCGATGAGAGAGTGGGAGGGGGAAGAGAAAGAGAGAGGGAAAGGTAGAGGGGAGAGATAGAAAGAAAGATGGAGAGTGAGAGTGATAGGGAGGGGGAAAGAGTGAGAAAGGGAGATAAGGAGAGAGAGGGATAGAACGATAAGAAAGAAAGGAGAGAGAGTAAAGGAGAGAGAGTGAGAGAGGGAGAGAGATAGAGATGGAATAAGAGATAGGGGGTGGGTGAGAGGGGGAGAGAGAAAAAAGAGTTAAGGAGATAGGAAGATAGGGGAAGGAGAGAGAGGGAGAGAAGGAGAGAAGTAGAGGGGCATGAGAATAAGGGAGAATGGAAGTGAGAGAGAGGGAAAGAGGGAGTGAGAGAGAGAGTGAAAGAGGTGAGAGAGTTAGAGGGGAAGAGAAAGAGAGAGGGAAAGGTAAAGGGAGAGAGAAAAGGAAAGATAGAGAGTGAGAGTGATAAGGGGGAGAGAAGGGAGAGAAGGTGAGAGAGAGAGGGAGGGAGGGTAAGAGAGGAAGAGGAAGAGAGGGAAATGGGGTGAGGGAGAGAGATGAGGAGAGAGAGAGCATGCGAGAGGAAGAGTTTGAAAGAGGGAAAAAGAAAGGTAGAGAGAGGGAGAAAAAATAAGGGGAGAGAGAGAAGTAAAGAGATAGAAAGAGAAAAAATGGAAGAGGGAGAGAGAAAGATAGGGATAGAAAGGGAAAGAGAGGGAGAGAGTGAGTGTGAGAAAAGGAGAGAGAGGAAAGGAGAGAGAGTGAGAGAGGGAGAGAGATAGAGATGGATTAGGAGATAAAGGGAGGGTGGGAGGGGGAGGGAGAAAAAGAGTTAAGGAGAGAGGGAGAGAGGGAGAGAGGGAAAGAGATAAGGGGAGAGATGGAAAAAGTAGAAGAGAGAGAAGGTGAGAGAGGGAGGAAGGGTGAGAAAGGAGAGAGGGTGGGAGATAAGGGGGAAGGGAAAAAGTAGAAGGGAGAGAAGGTGAGAGAGAGAGGGAGGGAGGGTAAGAGAGGAAGAGGAAGAGAGGGAAATGGGGTGAGGGAGAGAGATGAGGAGAGAGAGAGCATGCGAGAGGAAGAGTTTGAAAGAGGGAAAAAGAAAGGTAGAGAGAGGGAGAAAAAATAAGGGGGAGAGAGAGAAGTAAAGAGATAGAAAGAGAAAAAAATGGAAGAGGGAGAGAGAAAGATAGGGATAGAAAGGGAAAGAGAGGGAGAGAGTGAGTGTGAGAAGGGGAGAGAGAGAGAGGAGAAGAGAAGCAATGGAGATAGAAAGGGAAATAAAGGGAGGGAGAGAGAGTGTGGGAAAGAGATAGCGTAGAAGAGGGAGAGAGAGAGGGTGAGATAAAGAGAGAGAAAGCAATAGAGAGATAAAGAGAGGGAAAGAGGGTAGGAGAGAGAATGAGAGAGGGAGAGGAAGAGAGGGAGGGAGGGTAGGAGTGAGAATAAGAGAGGGAGAGGAAGAGAGGATAGAGGGTAGGGAAGAGAATAAGAGTCGGAGAGTGAGGGAGAGATGAAGATAGAGAGAGGAAGATGAGGAGTGAGGAAGAGAGGGAGAGAACAAGAGAGATGAAGAAAGGGGGAGAAAAAAGATAAAGGGATTGAGAGAGAAGAAGAAAGAGAGGGAGGAAGGGAAAGAGGGAGAGGGAGATGGAGAGAAGGAGAGTGGTAGAGTGGGTCGGAGAGAATAGGAGTGAGAGTGAGAAAGGTAAAGAGCGGGGAGAGAAAAAGAGCAAAAGAGGGAAAAAGAGAGATAGAGATAGAGGGAGAGAGATAAAGAGAGGGAGAGAGAGGGAAAAGAGGGAGAAAAGGAGTGGGAGGGAGGGAGATATAGAGAAGGGGAAAGAGGGAGAGAGTGGCGAGAGAGATATAGGGTGGGGGAGAGATAGAGAAAGAGAGGGAGGGGGAGAGGAAGAATGAGAGAAGGAGGAAGCATAAGAGAGAAAGAGGGAAGGAAAGGGAGTGTAGGAGGGGGATCGAGAGAGAGAGAGAGGGAGAGAATATGATAGAGGGAAAAGGAGAGAGAGGTAGAGAAATAGAGAGGAAGGGAGGAAGAGGGAAAGAGAGAAAGAGAGGGAGAGAAAATAGGAGGGAAAGAGGGGTGGAGAGAGCAATAAAGAGAGGGAGAGAATAAGAAAGAGGGAGAGAGAGAGGGAGAGTGATAGGTGGAGAGAGAGGAAGAGAGAGGGAGAGTGGGAGAGGGAGAGTAAGAGAGTGAAGGTGGTTGGTAGAGAGAAAGGGAGCGGGAGAGAGTAGGATGGGGAAAGTGGAAGAGAGAGGGGGAGAGAGAGAAAGAGAGGGAGGGAGAGAGGGAGAGAAGGGTATAGAGAGGGAGATAAGGGGATAAAGTAAGGAGGAGAGAGATAAGAGAGAGGGAGAGAGGGAATAGAGAAAAGATGAGAGTAGGAGAGGGAGAGAGAATGAGGGAGGATGAGATGGGGAGGGAGGGAGATAGAGAGAGAAAGAGTGGCGGAGGGAGAGAGAGGTAGATTGAGAGATAAAGGGAGAGAGGGAGAGAGAGAGAGGAAGAGTAGAAGGGAGAGAGGGTGAGAGAGTGAGAGAGAGGGAGAGGGATAAAGCTAGAGAGAGAGACGAAAAGGGAGGGAGGGAGAGATAGAGTAAGGGAGAGAGGGAGAGGGAGAGGGAGAGAAGGGAGAGAGAACTGAAGAGGGAGAGAGGAGATAGATGGGAGTGAGAGGTAGTGAGAGGGAGAGAGGGAGAGGGAGAGAAGGGAGAGAGAAATAGAGAGGGAGAGAGGAGATAGATGGGAGTGAGAGGTAGAGAGAGGTAGTGAGAGGGAGAGAGGGTAAATGAGAGAGAGATGGAGAGATTGAGAGAGGAAGAGATGGAGAAGGAGAGAGCCAAAGAGAGGGAAATGAGAGATGGGGAGAAAAAATGGTGAGAGGGAGAGGGAACAATAGCGAGGGGAGAGCGAGGGAGGAGAGAGCTAAAGAGAAAGAGAAAGTGGGAGAGAAATAGAGAGGGAAGGAGAGAGAGAGGTAGAAATGGAGGGAAAGGGAGGGAGAAAGAAGAGAGAGAGAGAGAGAGAGAGGGATGGAGAGAAATAGAGGGATTTAGAGAAAGGGACGAGGGAGAGGGAGAGGGAGAGGTAGAGAGGAAGATAATGAGAGATAGGGAGGGAGTGTTAGAGAGAGGGAATGAGGAAGGAGGAGAGCGAAAGATAGAGAGGGGTTTAGCGATCGAAAGAGGGAGGAGAGAAAGAGGGAGAGAGTGACGTATAGAGAGATGGAAGGAGAGAGAAGGAGAGAAGGAGAGAGGTAGACAGAGAGTGAGAATGAGTGAGAACCGAAGTGAGAGAGAGAGAGTACTTTGACACTTGTTTCGATGGACCTAATAAAGGGTTGCATGTGGGCGATTCATTGGTTGCACTAGGAATCTAAAGGAGATAGGTGTATAACTAAGATAGGACATGCCATTTTTTGTATGCTAAAGGAGTTATCACATTGTACTTTGATGAATGTCTTCACAATAAATCTATAGAGATAATAGGAGTACACCAATAGAGCATAATTGGTTTACTCTAAGAGCTAAGACATTTGGGAATCGAAAAAACTTTTGTGACCACCATCGAATAAAACTTATAACCAAGTTCAAGATCACACTATGATAAGTTGACATGAGCACTAAATTATATAGTAACCGTGCTCATAAAAGGTAATAATGTATTAATTAATCCTCCTAGAGAATTGGGTAGTCATGATGCCTT